ATGCAATATATGTTAAGAAAAAAAAAGATAGGAGGGGAAGAATGAAGGGGAGTAAATCGGAGGGGGAGACAAACCATGAGAGAATGAGAGACGATGGACTCTGAAAAACAAACTGAGGGTTCTAGAGGGGAGGGGAGTGGGGGGATGGGTTAGCCTGGTGATGGGTATTAAAGAGGGCACATTCTGCGTGGAGCACTGGGTGTTATGCGCAAACAGTGAATCATGGAACACTACATCAAAAACTAATGATGTAATGTATGGTGATTAACATAACAATAAAAATGGGGAAAAAAAAAAAAGGTAATGCATCCAAAATGGCGCTTTTGGCTTCCATCCTTAACTGCAGTTTCAGAGATGTGACTGGCTTTGCTTGCCTGTGACAGACAGTGTGAAACTTTCCAGCTTGCCACGGGCTGCTTATCTGAGTAGGTGGAATCGGTCCAAACTGGATATTACAAGGTGGAGGAATCCCTTTACCTTTCTGGGCAAATGGACTTCTAGCTCTTCATATATATTTCCTCAGTATTCAGAAAGTATGCAACCATGCTTTTGGGATTTCATTGTACTACTCTTATTTTAGCAATGAATTGTTGAGCCATGAAAGATTTTGAGCTTGTCTATGCAAGTTCCAGAGCAAATCACTGACTACTTGGTACAGTAGGAAGAGTCAGGAAGCCTGTTAAACGTACGTCTGTCAATAACTTGCTAGTAACTTGGGACGAGGAACATAGGCTCTTCACCCTTCAGCCTCCCTATCAGTAGAATAAGTGGGGACCACCCAGGCTTTGAAAGATGGAGCAGTTGTGTAAAAATTAGCAACAGAGCCAGCTGGCGATAAGAGTATAGAATTTACTCTCATAGCCGCATTGTCACTGACTCAGCATATTTCAAAAATGTAAAATGGAGCCAACGAACATACATTTGGTATTAACCAAACTGACAAAGGCACTATGTAAAACGAACCTCTTTATTAATCTTTAAAAAGGGGAGAGATTCTTTTGTCGACACTGTTGAGATGAAATGAGTGCTCTCTTTTGGTCTTTGTCAAAATGCATTCTCCCTTCTGGCCAAGAGGTCCACTGTGCTCCAGTATTGTTTCTGAGGAGGACGGCCTTGTGGATTGCCTCCTTCACTCTAACGTTCCTGTAACTTGCTTATCCATACTGTTTGAATTTTAAAGAAAATAAGATCTTAATTTCTGTCAATTCTCTGTCAAAAATCTTCTGTCAATTCTCTAATAAGAAGAGCCCATTCCAGGGCGCCTGGGTGGCTTAGTCGGTTAAGCGTCTGCCTTCGGATAGAATCCTGCATCAGGCTCCTTTGCTCAGCAGGGAGCCTGCTTCTCCCTCTGCCTCTCCCCACTGCTCCCCTGCTTGTATGTGCGCGCTCTCTCTCTCTCTCTCTGACAAATAAATAAAATCTTAAAAAAAAAACAAAAAAAAGCCCATTCCTTCACCAGGGGGTGGTTCTGATCTGCCTGGGCTGATGTATGATGGAGAGGCAAATAAACACGATAGAGGCTCTGCTCATCTCTGGGTGAGAACAAAGGTCACCTCTGGGCATGGAGGACTTCGGAGTGTAATATATATTTCCAGAGGGAAATGCTTACAAAATGCAAATGCTGATCCCAATTCTGACCTTTGCGACTGGTGCCAGTTTAGACAAAGGGAAAAGCCAAGAAGTGAAATGATATTTTCCTTCCCTCATCGTTACTCAGCATGGCTTACTTGCTTAGCTATAAAGAATTCAAGTGTCAAGAGAAACTGCAGTGCAGTTTTTTGATCCAAAAAATGCATTCTCCCTTCTGGCCAAGAGGTCCGCTGTGCTCCAATATTGTTTCTGAGGAGGACGGCCTTGCGGATTGCCTCCTTCACTCTAATGTTCCTGTAACTTGCTTATCCATACTGTTTGAATTTTAAGAAAATAGTTCTTAAACTATCGTATGCATAAGAATCATCTAAGGAGAGCGCCTGGGTGGCTCAGTTGGTTAAGCGTCTGCCTTTAGCTCCAGTCATGACTCCAGGGTCCTGGGATCAAGCCCCACATTGGGCTCCCTGCTCAGAGGGGAGTCTGCTTCTGCCCCTCCCTCTGCCCCTGCCCGTTCTCGACTGATCTCTTTCTCTCACTCTGCACTCTCTCTCAAATAAATAAATAAAATCTTAAAAAAAAAAAAAAAAGAATCGTCTGGAGAGCTTACAAAAATGATAGAACCCTGATTCCCACCCCGAGTTCAGTAGGGCTGAGGAATCAGCATTTTTAATCTATGGCATGGGGGTTCTGATTCAGGGGATCAGCACAGCTACTTGGAGGAGTACTGCTGGGTGCCAAGCCCACGAGTGATACTTTATCACACACATAGTGTGTGTTCCCTTCGTCAGTCAAATCCTAGCTGTTGCTTTTAGAACTGCACTGGAGCTTGGCTCAATCAATTATTGCCTGACTTACAACAATTTGTGATTGAGACAAATAGCATGGGAGAAGCCTGAGTTTGGGAGTCAGAAAGACCTGGGTGTAGATCTTCAAGCTTCTACTTATCATTCCTTGGGTAGGTTGCTCAAGAACTTTTTCTATTTACTTACCTGTCAAATGGGAATAATATTACCCACGTCACCAAGAGGGGGAGGTGGTGGTGAGGAGGGGATAGAATGACTTACGGGTAAGCACTTAGCACCATGCCTGGCATTTAGTAGATAGAGGCTCAATAAATACTACTTTCCTCCATTCTCACAAGAAGCAGGAATTAACTTAAAAAAAAAAAATAGAAAAGAAACTCGTATTCTCCTCCAGCACTTAAAGCAGATATTGTAAAGATAAACTTTTTTTCTAAAGATTTATTTATTGGGGCACCTGCGTGACTCAGATGGTTAAGCGTCTGCCTTCAGCTCAGGTCATGATCCCGGGGTCCTGGGATCGAGTCCCACTGCGAGCCTGCTTCTCCCACTCCCTCTTCTGCTCCCCCTGCTTGTGCTCTTTCACTCTCTCTCTCAAATAAATAAATAAAATCTTTAAAAATAAATAAAGATTTATTTATTTGAGAGAGAGAGCACGCAGAGGGAGAGAGAGAACCTTAAGCAGACTCCCTGCTGAGCGCAGAGCCCGACTCAGGGCTCCATTCCACGACACTGAGATCATGACCTGAGCCGAAACCAAGAGTCGGATGCTTAACCGACTGAGCCACCCAGGCGCCCCAAGAGAAACTTTTTTTTAATGTCCAGGCAAATAGATTTGGGGCCTCTTTACACATCACTTTAAAAGTCAATGGTTTTTTAGCAATCTTGAAAGGATGCCCCTCCTTAGTTCCTTTAGGTAATACTGACTTCTGTTTAACCTCTTCTCTGAGAGGTTAAGTGAATTGCCAAATGAAGATCAGGGGTGACTCTCTGGTAGACTAGACGAGCCACTGGCCAGTGCATGCTACCTAACGAGTCAAGAAACATTTGCTGAGCTCCTTTGGTGCATAAATACACATTTCCAAGAGAGGTCCCAGGGGGCAGGTAAGGAAATGCAGGTGTGTCACGGTGTTGGTAACTGGTGGACACTCCTCAGAGCCAGTGCAGAGAATCTGGATCAGGTGTGTTTAACCCGAAGCCACACCTGTTCCTAGTCAAAATCTCACAAGGACCACCTTGTTTCTCAGAATTTAGCTAGTAATGGATTATTTGGACCTCGTTGTTCAGACTCTTTCCAGGTGAAATGAGAACATTACAGGGGTCTGAGAGAAACAATGCACCATTATCCCTGCAGTGTCCAGCGAGCTCCTTGCTGGAACGGGCTTTCTAAAAATTGAGTCTCAGCATATCACCCCACATCTCCCCCCTGTCCAACCTGGTTTTACTGTTGCAGGGAAAAAAAATCATCTTTGTTCTTTGTGTTGGTTGATTAATTTTAGGTTCACTGTTCTTATCCCATTTTGCGCTCATGAGGATACTTATGTAACACATTTCTGTGTATCACATGGTTCCTCCTCCTGAGGACCCAAATCAGGAAAAAAAAAAAAAAAGTACAAAGTGCCTATCTGCCTTCTCTGGCTGGAGGAATTGCAAGTTAAATGAAGAGCTTTGGTCAGCTGAAAGCCACAATGTCCTCTCCCAGCCTTGCTCAGTCTTTATAAAGGAGAAGCTGTAAATCTTACCCCTGGGGCAAGGTGGTCACAAGAACTTCCATTTTCTGAAGGCTAACCTCTGGAAACTCAAAGAATAAGGCCAGTAAGCCCTGTCCTATGATTTTAGAGCCTGATCCAATCCCCTTTGTTTTATAGGAAAAGAAGCTGAGGTTCAGAGAGCTCCACATAGTTATTAGGAACTTTCTTTTTTAAAAAAATTACTGCCCACATTGTGTGTATCAGGAAATGTGCACCCCACACGAGGCTCATCATAGGCCTCCGAGAGGTTAAATGAGTTGCCAAATGAAGATCAGGGGTGACTCTCTGGTAGACGAGACGAGCCACTGGTCAGTGCACGCTACCTAACGAGTCAAGAAACATCTGCTGAGCTCCTTTGGTGCATGAGCATTCTGCTATGTTCTGAGAAGCTGGGGGATGGAAGGAGAAGTACAAATGGGGAAAAAATATGAACTTTAAGAAATTGCCCCCAGCTTTGAGGAACTTACAGTCTACAGTGAATTCCTTACTGAAAGGTGTTTCTAAACCAAAATAAAGACATATTACAAACACATATTACAAAATATCGAACCAAACAGTATCATATGTTTAACGGCCCAATTACGTAGTCCTAGAGAAGTTTGGGAGGAAGAAAGAGGGTTGCTAGCTCCCAGAGGAGCAAGCCCAGTGTTTTCTCCACTGGACTGTTAAAGCCACAATTCTCTTATTTTTTCTGTGTATCCTCATGATTATGGCACAGGGAAGGGGCTCAATTCATCCTTCTTGAATCAACGTGTGGCTCCTTAGATAACATAATTATGGTGCTATTTCTGTATGCCTCTCATGACCCCTTTTGTAGGAACGCTTTCTACTCACATGCATCTCTTGTTTTTTTTTCCAGTGGCTCACCCTCAGGACCCCCACCACCCATCAGAGAAGCCAGTCATTCACTGCCATAAATGTGGGGAGCCGTGCAAGGGTGAAGTACTTCGGGTCCAGACCAAACATTTCCACATCAAATGTTTCACCTGCAAAGGTATGCTGCCTCCAGCTTCCTGGTTTCATGGCATGTTGTCATGTGTGTGCTCACCTTGGGGTCCGTCCCTTGAACCCCATGCCAGGCCATCAGGTGATAAGTGAATGTGCTCAGAAGCCCTGGCATCCCTTTCCTTCTCTGGTTTGGGTGGGATTAGACTCAAGGGGGAGGCCGAGTCCCCCAAAGATCTATGGCCCATATGCCTTCGGTGTTTATTGAGGGTCCTGATCCTGGGAGGAGCAAGAACAGTAAACGCAGTTTTGTGTTTTGTGCTTTATATTTATTTCCCCCTGAAATGAAGGACTCTCATCCCAAAGTCACGTTGTCCCAACAGCCATTATTTATAGAAGGGCTGGCAAGTTTATAAGATTAGGGTTCTAAGTCACTGGATGCTGTGGGGTGATTGGGGAACATGTGTGTGTGCATGCACATGTGTATTCAGAAGTGAGAATTAATCAACAACACTTGGAAGGTCTCCAAGAAGCTAACTAGTTGAGATTGCTTGCCATTAACAAGCCTCCCTTTTGGGGTTTGTAACTGTTGGCATCCTGGCATGAAATACGCTGACCTGTTATTCTGGAGGTAGGGCGGGGCTGAGTGGGAAAAGAGAGGAAGAAGAAAGTGGTTTGTGTATTTATTTGAGGAACAGGTTGCTTGAGCTGAGGTCATGTGGGGAGCTCAGGCTGGGTTAAGGGATCCAGGAGGAGAGGAGGAAGGAAAGACAAGATGATGAGCCTGCTTTGTAGCTCACTCTGCCCTCTGCGTGTGTTGGGCGCTCTCATCCCTGGGAGTCGCGTTCCTTCTCAGTGCCTTAGTTTGTGAACTCAGCATTGCCATCGTAAGCCATCCATCCCTGGCCAGGGAGGCTTTCAAGGAGATGCCACCTAGGGACTGTCAAAGACATAAAAATAGGAGGGGCGGGGGCCTATCTGTTTATTTCACTGAGGGTAAACTCTTCTGAGAAAGAGCGTTAACATATGGCTCGGGTGAGAAGACTTAAGGGGAGGGGAGGACACCAGTTTAGTTCCCATAGAGCATGACAGAAGGCTGTGATGCACATTTTATAGAGAGGGATTCTTTAGTTCTTCCACAAACCCGTAGGAGTAAGTACCAGAAATCTTGTTTTCAGACAACTCAAGTTGGCCATCAAGAAACACGAGAGTCTCATCCAAGGTCCTAACTGTACTGCCATTCTCTGTGGCTTGAGTCCTGCCCTTGCCACTAAGTCGCTCTGGGATCTCAGATCCCACCTGTCTCTCGGTGGCCCCATGTCCTTATCTGGACAATAAAGAGACTAGACCATGTGATACTTAAGTCACCCCGGCTCTGAAGTTTGCCTATTCCATATACACAGAACAATGTCTGTGTATAATAGAGAACCCAGACGCACTGAATTAGAGCCTCTTAGCATGTAAGAGAAAAATGTTTCCTGGTTACATCCAGATTGGTTAACTTAGAGTTAGGCATTACATTCCGTTTTATTTTTTGCTCATAAATTTCCTGCAACATGGCTCAAGGGGTATTGGTCTGCAATAGATACACGGTCCACAAGCAATGGAGGCCTTGCATGTATTCTGTATTTCTAATTGAAAGTACAAAGTGTTAGTCTCAGATGTGGGTAGTCACTGTTCAGCACACTAAGGAATTAGAAGACATGTTTGTTTATCCCTCACGGATGGAAACTTCCTTGCTCTTTTTCTCTTCTAGTGTAAATCTAAGGACTGAATGTAAATTATTTATGTTGGAACGTTTTCCCATAGACTTTGTTTCATGCTATGAATGTCCTCCTGAAAATTCAAATGTTTGTATAAATTGAATCATATTGTAGGAGCGCTTGCTATTTGTAGGAACTATTTTGAATTTAACAAAACTTTACTAAAATAAGTGTCTTTTATTCCTGTTTGTTTTTTCTCACACTTAATCTATCAATATCTGTTATCTTATGTCCCCAATTCCTTTTCTTTAATATCCAAAGAAAATGACTTAAGCTCCTCATTCCTTATACTCTGGCAAGTTCATTCCTTTTCCCCAAGATTCTAGAGTGATGTTGTCCAAATAGAAACATGGTGCAAACCACGTATATAATTTCTAAATTTTTGAATAGCTATATTAAAAAGGTATAAAGGGGTAGGTGCAATTAATTTTCATAATGTCTCTAATCTCTATATATCCAAAATATTATCATTTCAACATATAATTAATGTAAAAATTATTGAGATATTTGACATTTTTTTTTCATACTAGCTTAATAGCACATCTCAGGTTGGACTAGTCACATTTCAAGTACTCAAAAGCTCTTTGTAGGGGCACCTGGGTGGCTCAGTCAGTTAAGTGTCTGACCCTTGATTTGGCTCAGGTCATGATCTCAGGGTCGTGAGATCAAGCCCCGCCTCAGGCTCTGTGCTCAGTGGGGAGTCTGCTTAAGGTTCTCTCTCTCCCCTCTCCTTTTTCCCCTCTCCCCTCTTGCATGCTCTCTCTCTCTCTAAAATAAATACATAAATCTTTTTTTAAAAAGCCCTTTGGGGGCGCCTGGGTGGCTCAGTCCTTAAACGTCTGCCTTCAGCTCAGGTCTTGATCTCAGCGTCCTGGGATTGAGCCCCGCATCAGAATTCCTGCTCTGCGGGGAGCCTGCTTCTCCCTCTCCCACTCCCCCTGCTTGTGTTCCCTCTCTCACTGTGTCTCTCTCTGTCGAATAAATAAAATCTTAAAAATAAATAATTTAAAAAGCCCTTTATTGTAGTTAGTGGCTACAGTATGGGACAACACAGTTCTAGAGAGTCCTTGAGGTTTTGTTTTGTTTTGTTTTTTTGAAGATTTTATTTATTAGAACATGAGTGGGGGGCAGAGGCAGAGGGAGAGGGAGAAACAGACTCCCTGCTGAGCAAGGAGCCTGAGGCAGGGCTCGATCCCAGGACCCTGAGGTCATGACCTGGCTGAAGGCGGACGCTAACCAACTGAGTCACCCAGGCGCCCCAAGAGTCCTTGAGGTTTGCATTCTTGTGGTCCCCTCTTGCTCCAAATTCTTTCCAGTACCAAATTCTTGGCTTCCTTTTGTGAATGCTGCTCCTTACACATTGCTTCACCCCACATTGGCCACCATGCCTCTTTATTTCCCAACATACCATGAACACAAGGCAGCTATTTTCAGTAGACTTCACTGAAGGTTTGGGATAATGGAGGGAAGTTATAGCCCCGAAGAGGCAACAACTGTCCTGATATTCCCGAGCCATGTCCAGAACAAGAAATTTCTCATTGGCCAGGGCCATTTTTCTCTTTCTTTCTTTGTTTCTTTCTTTCTTTCTTTCTTTCTTTCTTTCTTTCTTTCTTTCTTTCTTTCTTTCTTCTTTTCCTTTCCTTTCCTTTCTCTTTTCTTTTCTTTTCTTTTCTCTTCTCTTCTCTTTCTTCCTGCCTTCGTTCCTCCCTTTTCATTAATAGGCTTTAATTTTTTGTGCAGTTTTAGGTTTACAGGAAAAGTGAACACAAAGTCCAGACCAGGGCCACTTCTCATACGTATTCAGACTCCACCTGCCACCATCTTGGTATGTCTTCCTCTCCCTACAAAGACTCTTCTCCCCTTCATCCCTCGGACCTCAATTTCCTGTTCCCTCACTGTCCTGACTCTAAATTTTCATAGTCTCTACTTTTTATGAATCCATTAGGACGGTTTCCCAGAGGAAACAAAAGTCTTCTTGAGGAATGCTGTCTTCCTCCTAGCCCACATGGCCCAGACTGCAGCTCAGTCTGAAAACACCAGTTTTGTTTTCTGCCTGTTCCATCTAAAGCAGAGGTATCATGTCCAGATAGTGAGCTAATATCCTGGGAGAAAGGATTTGGGGTGGAGAGCAGTTGCTAGAACAAGCCTGGGCTTTGGGATAAGAGCTGGCCAAGTGCAGAGGAAGAACATTCAGGTTCTGACTCTGATTTCAGGGCCAGACAGCGTTTCTCCCTCCAGTTCTCTCCCCTGCCTCCCCCTCGACCCTCCTGCACTCAGACACCTTGTTGCCAAAGCCTCATAGTTCTTGAATGGGACCAGAGGCTACTTTCCATAGTTAGAAAGAACATCCTAAAATTCAAACACCTATGGGAATAAAAAGCAGAGATGGACTCTTTTACTAGGAATGGGTTTTGAAAGGCGAGGGAGAAAGAGGACAGCAAACATCTTCCATGAGAACCAGACATGAAGGTAGGAAAGGGTCGCTTCGGAGGAACCTAGAGCTCAGAGCACAAACTTAAACCAGTGATCGGTCCCTGAGTTCACAGGATCCAGGGGTGGTGAGCAGGAATTTTGTTGGTGAACCCATCTCCCTAAAATGTCTGACATCTTGGGATCTGATGGTGTAGGAGTTATTTACCCACTGAGTAAATGGTAATTGGACACATACTCCTTGTGGGATGTTATGCTAAGTGCTAATAATAGGAAGAGACGGCACACCCACACCATGTTTGTCCTCAAAGGACCCATAGGGTATTTGGAGAGATATATAAATAAGCAACATTTACGATATTGGGTAATAAGCACTGTGATGGAGAAATCTATAGGATGCTGACTGGAGGCAGGGAGACTCCTAGGGGAGATATAAGCATCGTCCTGGTAGAAATAATGTAAGGTAGCAGCAGGTATGATAGAGAATCAGGGGCAGATCTAAGAGACATTTAAAGTTAAGGTTGATAGGATTTGGTGGCCGTATGTGAGGAAAGAAGAGAATGCAGGTTTCCAGTTGGCCTGCCTGTGTGGACAGATGGTTGCCACCCACTAAGGAAGAACAAGAGCACTGCACAGGGTCGTTCCAGGAGGAGAGTTCAGCTTGGGATACATCGGGGCTGAGGACACATGGTATATTCAGAGTCCAATAGGTTTAGCACTCAAGAGACAGCTACTGGTCTGTGTTGGGAAGAAGGGGGATTTTTAATTTTTTTTTTTTTTTTTATTAAATAAACTCTACCCCCACCATGGGGCTCGAACTCACGACCCTGAGGTCAAAAGTCACATGCTCTACCGG